ACACAGGAACAGTTTCTTCCATCAGGCAATCCATCTCATGAACACCTGACAATAACAGTGGAACACACAACACTATTTATAAACATATCTAACACACATACTTAGTCTACACCTCAAATTTGCACATAATATACCTGTACATACAAAAGTATCTATTGTAATATACCTGCACATACAAGTCAATTTATATATTGTTATTCCTTATTTACTTGTTCTATTTTTAATTTTTAAATTTTTTATTCTTTTATTATCTGTGTTTTTGTTCTGTCGCTGTCATTCTGTTGCACTACGGAAGCTTCTGTCATGAAAACAAATTCCTCGTATGTGAAAACATACCTGGCAATAAAGCTCATTCTGATTCTGATCACATGGCACAGCTGATTGGTTCTCTCCTGTATCGGTAGCCAATGAGCTCACTGCTCAACATTCAAATATATGACTAGTGCTTGCTGTAGCAGTTGCAGCTTGGTTCAGAAACCCTCCACCTTCCCCAGCTCCACCTGTATAGATCTGCTATGAGGTGATTTATGTATGCTATATGGGGGTTATTTCATGTATGTTATATTTGCAGCAGCAATATTTCTTACATGCTCACAGCAGCATGTTGTGGATGTATTGGCAGTAGCAAGTCTCGGTACTTGCTCTGCCAGAGCAGCAGCAGCAGCAGCAGCGTAGCAGATCTATTCTGCCAAGACCAAATACATTAACATTGTCATGTACATTACCATGCCAATCCCTTTGAGAGTTGTCATGACAGAAGTACATTTCAGACATCTTCACTTTTTTTAAAGCCTATGTTTCTCCGTTTCTACTGCAAACATCACTATTGTAACTATCTAAAGTACATACCCAAACTCTAAAACCAAACCCTATAAATCTTGACCCTTATTGTAAACCTTTGTTTGCTTTTCCTTGACTGCACTTCCTGTAGGTCAGGAGTCTCCAAACTTGGTCCTGGAGGGCTGGTGAGTTCAGCTCCAACTTGCCTCAACACACCTGCCGGAAAGTTTCCAGTATGCCTAATAAGAGCTTGATTAGCTGGTTCAGGTGTGGCTAATTGGGGTTGGAGCTAAACTCTGCAGGACACCATCCCTCCAGGACCAAGTTTGGAGACTCTTGCAGTAGGAACTATACAATTTTTCTGTGTATTTGAACATTTTAACAACTGTTATAACACCAGTCAACCTGTAATAATAGCATGGATCAGAGCCACAATTAAACACAAAGTTTACACTCTTCAGAGGAGTGAACTTATGGATGGCTTATTTACACTGCCACTCACGGCACGGCACGGCACGGCTCGGGTCGGCACGGTTTGTGTTTCCACTGCAGTTTAGTATCGCTTTAGAGTGGGCAGGATTATCCACATGTTGTTAGTTGCACCGCCTATACTGCCGCGACTTCTGACAAACTTTTTCATTCCGTGTCGCCCCATCAAGCTCTCACTGGATCCGCTCCTCTGCTATCAACGAGAGGAGTGTCTGTACTTCCTCAACAGACAACGAAACGGCCACTTTTTGGTTGTTAAAAAAAGTGCGCTCGTTCAAAACAATTGCGCTCGATCCTTCGCTGGCTGTGCTGATTTAAATCTAGCGGTTCTGTTGTGTTTGTGTCGCAAGTTCAGTGACGCAGGTAGTGACGATTCTCTCCGGCCAATCCGTGATCAGCAGAGTTTACACGTCACGTTTTGGTAACCGTACAGTTCACTTGGAACCTCAACCGAGGTGATACTAAAAAAAGTACCAGGTACCAGGTACTGTACCCAGTGGAAACCCCCCCAAAAGTGAACCGTACCGAGCCATATCATGCAGTGGAAAAGCGCCATACCGTGCCGTACCATGCAGTGGAAAAGCGCCGTATGGAATGGGGGTCACTTAACATATAGACACATGGAGAAAGGATGTTGTTCAGGATGCTAAATGTTTCATTTGTTTAATTGGCTCATTATTAGGAGTGGCTGATTGTATACTTCACCTTACTTTCCAAACAGCAACCTAAATGCAGGCCTATTTTTATAAAGTTATAAATCAATCCTGTGTCCAATAAAAAAGCTGAGGTCTATTCTTAGAGAACAGACAGAACTACAATATTTTTAATCATATTCTTAGCATTAATGGCATTAAATTAAAATGTATAATACATCTATTATAATTATTCAGATACAATTATACAGATATAATACAGATTAAAATTTCTGTCTTGAACAATAGTTCATCTTCACTTCAGTGTACTTAAAGGGGTCCTATTATGCTCTTTTACAAAGTCTTGATTTTGTTTTGGGGGTGCAGTACTGCCACGCCCCTTGCTCCGTCTTTCAACAAAAGCTTTTGGAATCCGGCACTGTACTCACTCGTGATTTGGAAGCTGTCCTCAGTAAAATGCGCAGCACACAATAGCAAATTGGGGTTATAATGCTCAGGAACAGAGTTAAAAAATAAATTGCAACCACTGTTTCCTGACATCATCCACTTTCGGAAGCCCAAACAAAGACGTTTGGGCACGGAGGTGAAAAAAAACAGCGTTTCAGGCAGTTGCACACCGGACGAGAAGCGCAGCGTCGCGTCACGCCACGTCTTTAAAATTCGAATACATTAGTTTTTATGAGTGCAGGCACACCGGTGGCGCCGTTCGGCGTCTGTCCGCGGCGCCCAGCTACGTCGTGTTATACTT